TTTCACCTCCAGCTGGTTCATGCGGCACCTGAGCCTTCTTGATTTTGGACCGGGCTCTTTTTTTTTTTTTTTTTTTTAATGGGTACTAGTAGATGATGGGTGCTAGTTTGAGATGATGGGTACGAGTCTGAGATGATGGGTACCAGTGTGAGATGATGGGTACCAGTGTGAGATGATGGGTACCAGTGTGAGATGATGGGTACCAGTGTGAGATGATGGGTACCAGTGTGAGATGATGGGTACCAGTGTGAGATGATGGGTACCAGTGTGAGATGATGGGTACCAGTGTGAGATGATGGGTACCAGTGTGAGATGATGGGTACCAGTGTGAGATGATGGGTACCAGTGTGAGATGATGGGTACCAGTGTGAGATGATGGGTACCAGTGTGAGATGATGGGTACCAGTGTGAGATGATGGGTACGAGTGTGAAATGATGGATACTAGTGCGAGATGATGGGTACGAGTTTGAAATGATGGGTACTAGTGTGAGATGATGAGTACTAGTGTGAGATGATTATTGCTAGTGTGAGATTATGGGTGCTAGTCTAAGAGCATAGAGGTAGAATATCTGGTTGACAGAGCCAGAGTGCATGGGGGAATTGTGTGAAACTCCGATTGTGCTTCGGAGAAGCTTTGGGATCCTCGTGAGGGCAGTAGCACTCCATGTTGCAATTTTTTTAACATGTCATGGTACAGTTGACTAAGGTGCATCTGAGAACATCCTGTGCATAGGTTTGAACCCTCATCATGGCCACTTATGGATTTGTTCATTTGATATATCACACTATTGTAATTTGTGTGTGTAATTGGGTAATAATATCTTTGTGGTAGCTCCTGCTTGACACCTCGCTTAAGAGCTGACCACCTCCAGTGATTACTCTGTCAACGCCTCAATTTTGCCAGACTTCCTTGCCCTCACCAAGGCTTGATTTTTTTTCCCGTGGTCAGAAACACAAATGAACACTTTTTTTGAAGTCAAGATTTTATTTATTATTTTTTCTGTGGGGAGCCCCTATGGCTTCCCGGAGCTATCCAAGCTGATAGGAATAGTTCTAACTTTTGGCATCAGTTGAATGTGGGTGGAGTTCTAGGACTATCAGGGACCACGGCCAGAACCTGGCCCCCTCAGAGAGGCACAAAGCACAATGGCCTATAAAATACACTTGTGATTGTGGAACATTATATATCTGCCATCGACCGGGACAGGCACCCAGAAAAGTAAGTGCCCCAAAACAAACCCCTATTCTGGTGAAATCAATAAAAATAGACAAACGAGTGGACAGAACTCTCGAAATGAAAATGAGCAAACAAGCATGATGTCACACAAGCCGCGCCGCACGTCTGCGCAGCTCCCCCCCCCCCCCCAGAAGGGGAAAGGGTGAGCCCCAGACCCAAGCACTGGCGATCCACACCGCAGTTCTTCGGCTGGCGGGATATGGCTTGGTCGTTTTAGCTCCAGCTCCGGACTTTTGTTGTGCTGTCCTCTGTTCAGTACTGCTCTTTGGTATTGTGTGAGTTGGGAATAATATTCACAGGTACTCGGGCTGCATGTGCTTAGGGTCATCTTCCCTGAGTGCCCTGTCAGTACTGCCCTAGGGGCTTGGGATTCCCTTCCACAAGTCACCTTGGGTCTACCTCTGTTGGATTTTTGCTTTTTTGCTGCTTGGCGATTGACCGCCCTGAGTGTTTTGGGGGGTTTCCTCCCTAGTTAGCCTTGGGATATGTGGTAGTTATGTCACTGGTAGGGGCACAGGGTACTGCGTAGCTAGTTTTCACCTATAACAATGGCCGGCTCTGTTCCTTCTGGGTACACTGTCCTCTTGCGAGGTTTTTCTTTTTCTTTTTGGTTGGTGGGGGAGGCGGGGTGGCCTTGGTGTTCCTTCTCCCTTTATATTAGGGGTGTTTGTGGTTGATAGTACCCCCTGTTTCACCTTCGTGAGTGGACACGTCCCAGAGATTCAGTATTAGCTGTGTTGATTGGTAGCTTGGGCGCCGGTTAGCAGTACCCTGCCTGGTATAACCCTTAGCAGACCCAGTCTAGGTGTCCTGGGAAACCCCGCAGGGGCACTCGGGTCCAATGGATGTGACCCCCGAGTCCCATCTCACTTTTTTCGAGTTTGAGGGGTTGCTCTGTCCCTTTGTCTCAGGGTGACGCTCATTGTTTTTGCCTCTGTCATACTGCCTGTTGGGTCGGTAACTCATTCGACCCGGACTCCTGCGAGCTATGCTGCTTGTTTGTGACTCAGTTCACCCAATCTGATAATGATGATATTCGGGTGCAGGCAGCATGCACACTTGCATGATAGGTTTAAGTTGTTGCAGCGCGCTAGGTTGGTTGCCTCCCCTGATGCCCTGATGCTGTCCCGTTTTCTTTATTGAGACCCGGACTTGGTCGCTTTGGCCTTGGTTCCGTCCATGCCTCCCTCGTTCTTACCCTGCTGTGGGTCATTTGGTCCCTCCCCCCTCCCCTTTCTTCCAGCTCCTAAGCATCTGAGGACTTCGGGGTCGGGGCAGGGCTTAGAAGTTTCTGATACTCTGGCAGTTTCGGGGGTTGCCCCTTCCGGGGTGGCTGTGGAGGCATTCAAGTCAGTTCCTCTAGCCGTAGCTACAGAGTCTGACCAGTGGGTCCATCCTCTTCCTGCTATTCTGGCCGCCCTGCCTTTTTCTTGTGAGGCCAGGGCTTTGGGTGACGACTCGCCCCTGGGGACTGACGTGGAGGTTCCCGGGGTTGGGGAGGAGCTGACTTAGGGATCTTGGGCCCTGTTAGACCCCACCTGGGTTTTTTGACCCTCTGAGTGGGGCTTGTTACAAGGAGTGGGGTTTTCCTTTCCCCCCTTTGCACACGAGTTGGATTTGCAGAGGGGGGGAACTTGTTTCTAGTGTGTGACAGTGTGTAGTGTGTAAATGTGTTGTAAATATACATAAATGAGCATGAAACATTTGTGTGAATAACAGTATGTATGGTCTGAGGAGGGGTGATGGCGAGTACGATGTTGGAGGAGTGAGGGAGGACTGGCTGGCTGGGTGTGGCAGCTCACACTCGTGGAGTTCTGAGTGTGTGTTTAGGGTGTGTGTGTGTATATAGTGAGTGATACTGTACAGTGTGTAAATAGATTGTATATACCTGTATACATAAATTCGCGCGCCTCTTGCCCCGGCGCTCTACTGGCCCCGGGAGCGTACACCACAGGCGAACGGGGAATGACGACATCACGCGCCAACTAACTTTATATCAGCCAACAAATGTGTATGTGTTTACACTTTTTCAGGTGTGGAATGCACCACTTATTGTTATCTTCCTGCAATGAAATGGAAATTGTCATATTTTCTGTTAACACAAGTGTTTGGTTTGGACTCGAGTACTTTAACCCTTACACTGCTCAGGGGTCCTTGGGACATTTACACCCCTGTGCGCAAGAAAAAAAAAATTCAAAATTTTTTTTCGTCTTCTAAACATGTTAATTTGTGTCCCCTGAGCACTGAAAAAAAAAAAAAAAAATCGTAGGTGACATATTTTGGGCGCAATTGACCGAGGAAGTCTGGCAAAAAGTGGGCGTTGACAGAGCGGTCGTCAGACCTGGTCAGCGTCACCCGCGTTGACAGATGGGAGTTGCCACAAAGATATTATTACCTAATTGTTTCAATGTCTCCAATTGATTTTTTCTTAGTTTTTTTGCAGTAATATTATTCAATAGTGTGTATTGTAATATATTTATATAATAAAAGTGGTTAATAATCGCTATACTCAAAAGTATGATGTGCGTATTAGTGATTCAATTATTATGTTTATAAAACTATAAACAAATAGTTTTGCTGCTATTACACTCTATACACAGGTTATATATAAGTATTGGCATGTTTTGGTCACCATAACGAACCACTAAGTTGGTATTGAGAGTCGAAAAGCAACGAGGAGTTACCGCCACACACCAGCCAGCCACTCGCTGCCACTCCCTCAACACACGCACTAAACTTTCTCCCCCAACAATACCAGTTGTGGTGTTATTACACTATATACAGACGTTATATATAAGTATGTGTATATTTTGTTCACCACAACTGTACAGCTAAGCTGATATAGTTAGTTCAGGCACTAAGAGTCGTCGCTATACACAGATGGCGGCTGGCAGCTCCCTCACTCTTTCAAGGTCACACGCACTAAACTTTCTCCCCCAACAATACCTTTTGCAGTGTTATTACCCTGTATACACATATTATATATAAATATCTACATGTTTTATGCACCGTAACTGTACACCTAAGCTTGTAGTGCGCCCAAAGAGCATAGTGGCCACCCTCTAAACAGCTAGACAAATCGCGCAGACGACGTCACCTCCGTCACCCATATGGCTCCTCCCAGCATAATCCTTTTGCTGTTATTACACTAATACACACATTATATATAAGTATCTACATTTGTGTTCAGAATAGAGAACCACTGACCTGGTATGGTGAATGCAAACAATAACAGGTGGCCACACAGTCAGTAAACGATGCTGTCTCCCTCCGTCTCTCAGCATCACTCCTCCCACAGCGCTAATCATTACAACAATCCTGCTATTACCACAACCTTGGTTATTTATATCACAGTCATTGGTCATCTGTAATATTGTCATCGCTAAATAATAACAATTATATATTTATTTTGACATTTTTCGGCGATGCTGTGGTCACAAGCTGAACATCAAATCTGTTCGCTCATGCTGCGTGCGCCGACCTTGGTTGCTCCAACAGTACTGTGGCTCTCACACCTGAGAATATTGCCCACGATTTTTTTTAAAAATGGCATCTGTTTACAAGAGCCCTGAGGAAGCTACTGTGAACCCCGTGTAGCTGCGGGCCATTTGAATCAGGCCTGGCACCCTATGGCGTATATATACGCCATGCGCACCATGGGACATTTTACTCAGGGCGTATATATACGCCATGCGCAGTTTAAGGGTTAAGACATAAACTAATAGTAACTGCAGAAGTTGGTCAGAGTTTTTGTTTTTTCAGGTTGCAAGGTTTATGTTAACAAACAGCACAGCTAACAGTTGGGTCAATGCCGAATGCAGAATATCAGAGACGTTGGAAGCGAATCACAGCTAAAGTAAAGAAAATTATGGAGTCGATAGACAGCGATGACAGCACCAGTGATGGAAATGAACAAAAACATGAATGTGATGAAAGTTGTGATTCATCATGCGAACTAGATGCTGCTTTATCCTCTGAGCCAGATGAAGATGATGAAAATCTTCTATATTATGGAAGTAGTCCTTCAGACAAGTCATATGAAAGTGATACAGAAACACAAAATGGAGAAATAACAGCCAGACTCAGTGAGGAGCTCACTGCACAGACTTGCAAGAACAATTCCCCCCATTCATCAACAAATGAAATGCTGAAAATATTAAGACAGCATGGATTTTGCCTTCCTGAGGATAGTGGTGCTCAGCTACAGTCACCCAGCACTGTTATCACTGCTGAGAATGGACAAGGTCGGTATGCATGTTTTACTATGGAGAATAAAATCTAAAACTACTTTGTCAATTTCCATTATTAAAACTCCCAAATGCACATTTTTGACCAATATTATGTAGTATTAAAAGATTTAAGCCATTTTATGCAAATGACATGTCAGATTCTGTTGAAAAATTCATGGTTTATGACTTTTGTTTTAAGAAATGTTGTACAAATTGTGAGTGAAACAGACATTATTGCTAGTAAAATTATTTATACTGTACAATATCAAAAACTTATTTACATTGCTTTTTCAGCGTTGGCTGATGACCAGTGTGAAATATCCCCGTTGAGAAAACAGCTTGATAATGGTAGGACACGTCAATGAACATTTACAGTACTGTACTATATAATAATTTGTATTAACCCTTAGAGGGCAGCTATTGCAAAATGATTATTCCTGCATATGTGCAAAAAATAACAAAATTCCCCCAAAATATTTTTTTCCTGCTTGATACCTGCTTGATGGGGTTCTGGGCGTTCTTCTACTCCCCAAGTCCGGCCCGAAGCCAGGCTCGACTTGTGAGAGTTTGGTGCACCAGGCTGTTGCTTGGAGCGGCCCGCAGGGCCACATACCCACCACAGCCCGGCTGATCCGGAACGTCTCTTAGAAAACAGTCTAGTTTTCTCTTGAAGATGTCCACAATTGTTCCTGCAATATTTCTTATAGTCGCTGGGAGGACGTTGAAGAACCGCGGACCACTGATGTTTATACAGTGCTCTCTAATTATGCATATGGCACCTCTTCACAGGTTCAATCTTGTATTTTCTTCCATATCATTCACTCCAGTACGTTGTTATTTTACTGTGTAGATTTGGGACCTGGCCCTCCAGTATTTTCCATGTGTATATTATTTCGTATCTCTCTCGTCTCCTTTCTAGAGAGTACATTTGGAGAGCTTTGAGACGATCCCAATAATTTAGGTGTTTTATCTCGTCTATGCGTGCCGTATATGTTCTCTATTCCCTCTATTTCAGCAATCTCTCCTGCTCTGAAGGGGGAAGTGAGTACTGAGCAGTACTTGAGACGGGACAACACAAGTGACTTGAAGAGTACAACCATTGTGATGGGATCCCTGGATTTGAAAGTTCTCGTAATCCATGCGATCATTTTTCTGGCTGACGCGATATTTGCTTGGTTATGCTCCCTAAACGTTAGATCGTCGGACATCATTATCCCCAAATCCTTGACATGCTGTTTTTCTACTATGGGAAGATTCGATTGTGTTTTGTACCCTGTATTATGTTTCAGATCCTCATTTTTGTGGTATCTGAGTACCTGAAATTTATCACTGTTAAATATCATGTTATTTCCTGCTGCCCAATCGAAAACTTTGTTGACATCTGCTTGTAGTTTTTCAATGTCTTCAGCAGAGGTAATTTTCATGCTGATTTTTGTGTCGTCTGCAAAGGATGACACGAAGCTGTGACGTGTATTTTTGTCCATATCAGATATGAGAATAAGGAACAGTAGCGATGCAAGGACTGTACCTTGAGGTACAGAGCTTTTAACATCGCTTGGACTCGATTTTATCTGATTGACTGTTACTCTTTGTGTTCTGTTCGACAGGAAATTGAGTATCCAGCGTCCTACTTTTCCAGTTATTTTCATTGACCTCATTTTGTGAGCTATCACCCCATGGTCACATTTATCGAACGCCTTTGCAAAGTCTGTGTATACAACATCTGCATTTTGCTTTTCTTCTAGGGCTTCTGTGATTTTGTCATAGTGGTTCAGTAACTGTGACAGACAGGATCTTCCCGCTCTAAATCCATGTTGTCCTGGATTGTGCAATTCATTGTTTTTCATAAAACTAGAAATTTGATTCCTAATCACTCTTTCAAACACTTTTATCATGTGTGATGTTAGTGCAACTGGCCTATAATTTTTTGCCAAGGCTTTACTGCCCCCCTTGTGCAACGGAGCTATATCTGCAGATTTAAGTGCTGCTGGTATCTCCCTTGTATCCAGGGTCTTTCTCCATATTACGCTGAGTGCTCTCGCTACTGGTACTTTACATTTCTTTACGAATATTGAATTCCATGAGTCAGGCCCAGGAGCTGAGTGCATAGGCATATTGTCAATTTCTCTTTCAAAGTCTTCCAAGTTTGTGGTAATTTCTGTTATATTATCTGCAGCTTGAATGTCATTCATAAGGAAGCTGTCTGGGTCATCAACTTTCATGTTGTTTATTGGTGTGCTAAACATAGCCTCATACTGGCTTCTTAGAATTTCACTAATGTCTTTGTTGTCCTCTGTGTACGTATCTTCATTTGTAATTAACGGTCCAATACTGGTCGAGGTTTTGGATTTGGATTTTGCGTATGTGAAAAAATATTTCGGGTTTTTCCTTATCTCTTGTATAGCTCTCTGTTCCAATTCCATTTCCTCACTCATATGATCGCTTTAACGTTTGTTCTATTTCTTCGATCTCCCTGCTTAGGCTTATTTTCCTTGCTTGTGATAGTTGGGTCTGCCGAAGCATTTCCGTTGTTTTTTCTTCTCCTGTACAGTCGTCTGCGTTCTCTTTCTAGAGTGGTCCTCTTTCTGACCCTCCTCACAGTCACGTGTTTCAAGCAGACCTTGTAAGCTTCAGCTGTCAGTTGAGCTATTCCCTGTGTGGGAGTTTTGTCGCTTAAGACAGTCTCCTATTGAATGGTTGCAAGGTCTACATTTAGTTTTTCCCAGTCAATCCTCTTATTGTTGAAATTGAATTGATTGAATATTCCTTCTCGCTTGTTGGGTCTCTTAGACCTACTTCCGTTATATATACTAGTACGCACTTCAGTGAGCTTATGGTCTGAGTATGAAGTATCTGAGATTGTTATGTCTCTGATTAGTTCATCATTGTTTGTGAATTAACAAGTCTAGTGTGTTTTCGTTCCTAGTTGGTTCTGTAATCTGTTGATTGAGCGAGAATTTGTCACAGAATCTCAAAAGTTCTCTGACCTGTGGTTGGTTATTTCCCGGGTCATTTCCTGCTATGATATTTGTGTTTGCCATTCTCCATCTTAGACTCGGTAAATTGAAATCTCCAAGGAAGATAATATCTGGAGCTGGGTTTGCTAGGTTATCAAGTATGTTCTTCCATGGGGAGCCCCTTTGGCTCCCTGGAGCTATCGGGTTAATATGAGATACTGGTACTTTAGACCAGGGCATTAGTCAGTGGGGTTCAGCCTACCTTGGACCATGAGTCAGAACCTGGACCCCCTTCAAAAAGGCACAGGGAGCAATGGTCCCTGGAAAGCCCCCTCTGGTTGGGGGTTTTCCTTATCTGCCATCGACCGGGGTTAGGCACCCAGAAAAGTAGGCATAACATAACAAACCCCACTTGGTAAGAAAATTGCAACTGAAAACTGAACAGAGGCAGAACTACCTCAAATCCCAAGGAAACAAGCAAACGCCACACTTCGCCGCTGTGCAGTTTGTCTGCAGAGCCCTCCCCTCCCTGGGAGGGGGAGACCCCAGACCCCCCACGCTGGCTACCCAGCAACTCAACTTTGTTGGCTAATGCGATCTGGGGTAGTCGTCAACTCTGGCCTTGATTTCCTGGCAGTGTTTTACCTAAATAGTGTCCTGCTGTTTTGTGGTATGGTGGCCAGGTGTACTTAAGAGTACGGCGGCTGCATGCATTTAGGGCAGCCTTCCCCAAGTGCCCTGTGAGTTCTACCCCTGGGTGTTAGGGTAATCTTCCCTGGTGCCCTCGGGACGCCATTTCCGTAGGGGTTTTTTGCTGCTCGGCATTTACCTCGCCCTTGGGGCCAGCTGGGGTTTCATGGCCCTTGTTTGGCCTTGGGGTAGGGAGTGGTATTGTTGTTGGTTGGGGCATCTAGGTGTTGTGCAGCCAGCTTACCTATGCAGCAGCCGGTTCCTGTTTCCTCTTTCCTCTGGAGACGTACTTTGGGGGGGGGGGGGGGTTTTCTTTATCTGGAGGAGGTCTGCCTGGTGTGGCTATAGGACCACTTACATTGCTTTGGTGGCCCTCTACTAGGCCCCCATGATTGTACACATCGCAGGGGTTTTCAGTGTTTTGATCTTCCCCTTGTTAGCGTTGGGTCATACCGTGAGGTTACCTTGAGATGGTTTTGTGGCTTAGTGTCCACACGGCCTAGTTCTCGACCAGGTCTCCTCGTTGCTGGATTGATCAACCAGGCTGTTGGATGCAGCTGCTCGCAGCCTGACGATCAGGTATCCTTGGAGGGGCATATCAAGTTTTCTCTTGAACACTGTGAGGGGTTGGCCAGTTATCCCTGGAAACACAAAACGAAACTGTTTCTATTTTCCGCTTGTTACAACTTGTAAATAAAGTTGTTACATCTTGGCTTAACGTGTTTATGACGTATTAGAACGTTGTTATAACTGGTTAGGAAGTGTTAAAACTTGTTCGAACGTTGTACCAATGTCGTAGTTTCGGTGTGTGTTTGGCGGTATGTCTCTTATGTATAGTGGAAGCATATTGAACAGTCTCGGGCCTCTGATGTTGATAGAGTTCTCTCAGAATACCTATTGCACCTCTTCTTTTCAACAGGGGTATTCTGCACATCCTGCCATGCCTTCTGGTCTCGTGTAATTACCTAAGTGTAGTTACAGGATGAGAGCTACGCTCGTGGTGTCCCGTCTCCCTAGCATTCTTTGTCATATAACGCTTTGAAATTACTGACAGTTTTGGCCTCCACTATCTTCTCACCTAACTTGTTCCAACCGTCTACCACTACTCTGTTTACAAAAGTGAATTTTCTTATACCTGTATTTCTCCGGCAGCTTTGTTTCGTTAGTTTAAATCTATGACCTCTTGTTCTTGAAGTTCTGGGTCTCGGGAAATCTTCCCTATCAATTTTGTCAATTCCAGTTACTATTTTGAACGTAGTGATCATATCGCCTCTTTTTCTTCTATCTTCTAGTTTTTGCATATTTAATGCCTCTAACCTCTCTTCGTAGCTCTTGTCCTTCAGTTCTGGGAGCCACTTAGTGGCATGTTTTTTTTTTCTTTTTTTTTTTTTTTTTTGAGATATATACAAGAGTTGTTACATTCTTGTACAGCCACTAGTACACGTAGCATTTCAGGCAAGTCCTTAATCCTATGGTCCCTGGAATACGATCCCCTGCCGCGAAGAATCGTTTTTTCATCCAAGTACACATTTTACTGTTGCGTTAAACAGAGGCTACAGTTAAGGAATTGCGCCCAGTAAATCCTCCCCGGCCAGGATACTAACCCATGACATAGCGCTCGCGGAACGCCAGGCGAGTGTCTTACCACTACACCACGGAGACTGCTAAATTGTCATTGCACCTTTTCCAGTTTGTGATGTG